GGTCTCCCGAGTGAACAAATGAATGCGTGAGCGAGCGAATGAATTCCACCCGGAGGGCAGCGGGCAGGTCGGGTGCACACTTCCAACCTTGAGGTTCGTCCTAAGAGAATAAAAACCCTTTACAGAAACGCACCTCTGCGCGCCCACAGCTGAACGCTTTACTTGAGACGCCCCTAAAGTGCTGTTTTTGTAGAGTTTTCCTAATAAGTGGAAAGACGGGTCGTGTGTAGGTCAGTTTCTTGGCACGATTTTGACTTTTTCCTACGCAAAGTTCCGAGAGACACAAAGGGACAGCAAGTGGTGCGAGCAGCCCACAGACCCGACCTCAGCTTCTGCGCACGACGCCTAGCTGTCACTGCAGCCCTGGGGTCTCCCACCGGCGGGTCCTCGGTGCGCGGGCAGCCGTGGGTGCAGGGACATAACGTGTCCACCGAAAGTCATGTACTTGTGTGTACACATTTGTAACTGTACGCTCCGTAAATAAGGTCTACAAATTACCGTATGTGTACATCTATACCTGTGCACGTATGTGCAAGACAGACATAATGCGTGTGTTCTCTATAAAACACACCTGCACACAGAAAATTAACTCGCTACGTGTGTTTCCTATGTATCTAACCATCGGCTGGTTGTAGCTAGAAAACACGGTGAAATATCACACCCACAGGGGGCCTACTTGAAGGTGACCCTGCGACAGACAGTGGCATTTTCTGCTAACAGTGTACGTACGTACATACCAGGCAGCATGCACGTCGCTGCGGAGTTACTGGCGCCCGCCGCACACAAGCACGTGTACAGCTTGCTCTTTTACGGACACAGATCCATGACTGACACACAGGAGACCTGGGCCTGGCTCACAGGAGTGGTTCGGGGACATTCACGGTACACAGTTATCTTGGTCCCCGTGAGTTACCATGGAGCAGGGCCGGGGCCTCCCAGCCGCTGCAGCGACAGGGCTCAGAAACCTGGTGTCCAGCAGGGGTCCTGCAAGCCACTAGCTGTGACATCACAGGGACAGGCGTGTCCCACAGAAAAGCACTTAGACTTAGGGTGAAAGATGAGAGAATGAGGAACTAGTGGGGCGGGGGGCGGGGTTGGGGGGCGCCCTCCCTGGGCACGCCGAGTGGTCCGGCTTCGCGGCCGGGGGCACACGGGTACCCAGCTGGCGCTGCCACCCTGGGCCCAGCGGCCGGGTGTTCGGACCCCACAAAGGAGCTGCGACAGCCAGTGCTACCAACCTCCTTTAATCTGTTGGTGACGCCCCCTCCTCGCCCACCCCCTTCCAGCAACCTTTCCACCTGACGGCCCACGTTGCAGGATGGCGGCGCGCCGGCGGCCTCCCCGGAGAAAGTCCTTGTGACAGTCGCAGGCCGGCGGCCCTCAGGGCGCGGGTCTGGTGGCCAGGACCACGTCCACGATGTCCCCTGTGCGTGCCACCTGCACGTCCGTGAAGCCGTGTGCCTGCAGCAGTTGCCGGTACTGGCTCAGGCCGCGCTCCCCGCCCTGGGTGTGCAGCAGGCGGTTCAGGGACCTCAGCAGGCCCGGCCTGGCCGCCTGCGTGTCCTCGTCCAGGGCCACTTCTGCCACCAAGAGGCCGCCGCCTGCAAGCACAAGCACAGCCGCTGGGGTCCTGCCGGGGACACGGAGGGAAGGAGGCCCTGGGGGACACGGCGCTGGCCAGGAGGGGACGGGAGGTCACAGGCAGGGACAGAGACGGGGACAGACAGGAACCGAGGGGGGGAGAGAGGGAGGCACAGAGAGAGCCAGCAAGGAAAAGGAACGGGACACAGGAACAGACAGAGGGACAGAGAGATGGAGGGACGGGGCAGTGGAGACAGACGGGAGGACGGAGGGGCCGGCAGCTGGGTGCCTGCAACCCCTGCAGGTACCGCCCGGGCTCTCCTGAGTGAGTTCA